GAGCAAGGAGGCATGGCTGAGTCAAATAGGAATCCTGACTTAATGAAGTGGTGATTATAGAGCTCAGCCATACGCTCCTTGTCAGTAGCAACCCCATCATCAACAATAAGGGACATAGGCAGCTGTGAGGAGGAGGGTTTATTCTCCAGGTCTTTCACCGTTTTCCAGAACTTCTTGGGGTTAGACCCACAGAGAGAGAGAACTGCTATTTAAAGTAACTAACTTTGGCCTTCCGGATAGCCTGAGTGCACTTATTTCTCATTTGCCTGAATGACAGCCAGTCAGCCTGAGTATTTGTGTGCCAAGCCTTTCGCCAAATGGTGTTCTTGAGGTGGAGTAACTCTGTCAGATCACGGTCGAACCAGGGGCTGAACCTGTTTTTAATTCTCATTTTCTTTATGGGGGTGTGTTTGTTAACAATACCACTGAAAATATCAAAAAAGAAGGTCCAAGCGTCTTCGACAGAGGGGATCAAGCTGATTCTAAACCAATTTACAGAGGCCAGGTCATGAAGGAAGGCTTGCTCATTAAAGTTTTTTAGCAAGTGTCTATGACAAATCAGGACAGGTCGTTTAACTAAGCAGCCATTACGAACACAGGCTGTAAAACAGTGATCACTAAGGTCATTACAGAAAACACCAGACTGATACCTATCAGGATTATTTGTGAGGATAACATTAAGGAGAGTAGCCTTTTCTGGGTGTTTGGAGTCATACCTTGTGGGATTGGTAATAATCTGAGAGAGATTTAAGGAGTCCCATTGTTTTAGTACTTGGTCAGGTGGTTTAAGCATGTCCCAGTTTAGGTCACCTAGCAGGACAAATTCAGACTTCGTGTAAGGGGCCAGGAGAGAGCTTAGGGCAGGTAGGGTGCAGGTCAGTGCTGGTGGTGGACGATAACAGTCAACAAAGAGCTATTTTAAAGCTTATTGCTTAAAACTAGCAAATCAAATTGTTTGGGGACAGACTTGGTGGAAACACAGAGCACTGAAGGTGTTCCTTGGTAAAGATTGCCACTCCACCACCTTTGGAAGATGTCTTGCCAAAAAAAGTTCTCACCAGAAAGGTTAACATCAATGTTCAAAACACTCTTTCTTAACCAAGTCTCAGTAATGACCAACACATCTGGATTGGAGCTGTGAACCCACACGTTTAATTGATCAATTTTAGGTAATAAGCTTCTAGTGTTAATGTGCAGAAAACCCAGGCTTTTACGAGAGCAGAAATCAGTGAAGAAGAAATCAGAGCACAAGTCAGAATTGAGGCTAGCAACAGTAGACGGGCCAGGGTGTACATGCACATTTCCAGATATCATCAGAAGTAATACAATCAGGGCACGGCAGAGGACAGGGAGAGCTCTGCAGTGTTGATTTGTTATGACATTTCAATGTGCATCAGATGGCAACAAGATCATATTGTACAACAATTTCATCAGGTAACATGAATACAAAGCCGGCGAGAGATTGTTAAAATAGGATGGGAGGCCAAGAGTTCATGTAACCAATAGAGAGTCAGAGTCGTGAGTGTGGGAAAAAACATTTTCTGTCCCATGGTTGGGTAAATGATCAAGTTCATAGTCAACAAAGCATGCAGGAGTCATGGGGCAAATAGCATAAAGCACAATAAAAAAATTAAACGGCTTGGGGCTAGCCATTGTAAGTTCAAAGAGTCACTCGCCCCAACAAGATAACTTGAGAGAGTAGCTCTTTATGAGTCCAGTAGCTATAAAAGTCTGAGATAAAATAAATAAATAGAAGACCTATAGTAGTAAATTAAAGCGTTTCTGAGTAAGCTCACATAATAAGCTTCACAAGTTAATTAGCCTACATACAATTCTGATCAGTCCAAAGTGTGTATTTGCAGAGAGGGATTAGAATTCCTACAGCTATAATAATAGCACACTGTGGGCCTATTGGTTAGCATTAATAGATTTAAACAATTAAGCTTATAAGTTCATACATTTACGTAGACGCTGTTATCCAGAGCGACTTACAGGAGCAATTAGGGTTAAGTGCCTTGCTCAAGGGCACATCGACAGATGTGTCACTAGTCGGCTCAGGGATTCAAACCAGCAACCTTTCAGTTACTGGCCCAATGCTCTTAACCGCTAGACTGTCTGCTACCATACTTTCTTACTTTGCAGTAGGCATTATTCTGAAAATGAATATCTTGCTCCATTATATTATTGAAATATATTAGGTCAAGTGCTCTTCAGACAAGGGGGTTTTGTGATCTGTTTTTAGAATTAGAAGGTTTCATATTTTGTCTTTATTCCACATTGAGGCACTCTTCCTCTTAATGATCTATGAGCGAGGAGACATAATGAGTATCAGTAGAAGGCTGCAGAGTAAACATCATTAGGCCCTAGTGTCCTTTCTCTTAAGAGCCCCTTCATATGCTAAGAGCCACAGAGAACAGGGTCTCCCTACCTCACATACAGCAGATGTTGCATCAGCACACATTGAACAACATGCACTTCAGCTTTACAGACTGTTGGACATGTGACCCACGCAATCTCTCATCTGGAACAGATTGAGTTGCTGAAATACATCACCCTTTTATGATATGTAACTTTAAATTGTCATCTGAAGAGTGTAATAAACCATTGAAAATATACAGCTGTTATATGTGTTGTTAACGATAGTGTATGGTGGATTAGGATTTCTGTTAAATTCAGTTGGGAAGATTAAGGCTTAGAATATGCCCCTTAAATAAAACATACAGATGTAAGGCTAGCCATAGTTGGGATCTACAGTATAGAGGTCTGAAGGGGCTGACTCTGGTGCTTACTTAAGGTGATGTGGGATTGGAATAAATTAGTTATGTAAAGACTGGACAGTGCAATGGAATGCACACCCACAACCATCATTATATAATCCACGAGATGGCCTGCCCTACACCAGTTTGAGTCATTTTTGAGTTTTATGAAGTGTATTCATAAAACTGTTAATGTAGATCCAACAAATGTGTCTTGGAAATTGGAAATCTCTGAAAATATATTGGATATATTGTAGATAGATGCACGTAGCCATAGTTTACTAGCTAGTATTGTGGATTTCATGAGATATTGACCTGTCTTGAGAAGAGAATGTTTATGAAAGGCATTTCTACAAAATGATGAATTCAGGATCAGCTTTCATATTCATACAAATGTTTCAGTGAGGAGATGGGTATAGAGGTCCTGGATGGCTGGAAGCTTGGCCCCAGTGATGTACTGGGTCGTACGCACTACCCTCTGTAGTGCCTTGCGGTCGGAGGCCGAGCAGTTGCCATACCAGGCAGTGATGTAACCAGTCAGGATGCTCTCGATGGTGCAGCTGTAGAACCTTTTGAGGATCTGAGGACCCATGCCAAATATTTTCAGTCTCTTTAGGGGGAATAGGTTTTGTCGTGCCCTCTTCACGACTGTCTTGGTGTGCTTGGACCATGTTAGTTTGTTGGTGATGTGGACACCAAGGAACTTGAAGCTTTCAACCTGCTCCACTACAGCCCCGTCGATGAGAATGGGGGCGTGCTCGGTCCTCTTCTTTTTCCTATAGTCCACAGTCATCTCCTTTGTCTTGATCACGTTGAGGGAGAGGTTGTTGTCCTGGCACCACACGGCCAGGTCTCTGACCTCCTCCCTATAGGCTGTCTCGTCGTTGTCGGTGATCAGGCCTACCACTGTTGTGTCATCTGCAAACTTAATGATGGTGTTGGAGTCGTGCCTGGCCATGCAGTCATGAGTGAACAGGGAGTACAGGAGGGGACTGAGCACGCACCCCTGAGGGGCACCCGTGTTGAGGATCAGCGTGGCGGATGTGTTGTTACCTACCCTTACCACCTGGGGGGCGGCCCGTCAGGAAGTCCAGGATCCAGTTGCAGAGGCAATGGTAGAAACTCTGCCTGTGGAGGGTAGACCGCTTGTGGGTGAAGGGGTCTGAGATGGTCCAGTGGGCTTTTAGCTCAGGTGAAGACCCAAAGCTAGAGGATGGCGCTGATGAAGAGAGTGAAGAGGATGGTGAAAGTGATAAACAGCAGGTGTCCACTTCAGGGCCCCCATAGCCTTCCTCTGCCTCCTCACCATCATCCCTTTGGGAATGGTGAAGACTGGGAATGGTAAACTGTGGGACGCTGCCAGGCGTTTGTAAATTGCTGTAGATTTTGTCCTTACTTGTGTGGCAGTCTGATCCGACGGAACTCCCAAGAGAGCACGCACTAGAGGTGGCCCACAAAAGTGAATGCATCCCCACGCAACTGTGCCTGCGCTAGGTGGGGAAATACCACATTTCAGCGCGAGGTGGGGAAATACCACATTTCTGCGGCATTAAAGGGTTTTGCGCTACTGCTAATAGTTCCAATGCTGATGGTGCATGTCACTGTCATGTTTCTGTTCATTGTGTGTGTGTGTGTGTGTGTGTGTGTAGGCTAGCCTATGTGTCTCTCTCTCCCTTTCAGCAGTGCTATTAGTGCGTGTCTTGGGTAGGCTAGATTGGTCTGGAGAGAAAACAGTGGGCCTTTATACCTGTGACTCCCCCCTCACCCCCTCTTCATCTCCCACTCTGGAGTACTGTTGGTGCGTTCAAGACAACTGGGAATTCGGGGAAAAACGACGTCAAATCATGACGTCAATGATCTTCAGGTCGGAAACTCTGAACTCTAGAAAGATGCCGCTAACTGGTTGCCTAGTTATACACATGCCGCAATCAACCAGTTAGCAAGTCGTACATTTCTGAGTTTAGTTCCGACTGGCACGTGATCGCGGCATAAACGCAGCCTATTTTGCCTACTGTATGTGACAGGCTATTGTTGGCCCATACATCTGATGTTGGCCCATACGTTTCTACAGATGCTGCCCTACGTCATTATTTCAATAATTTGTGATTCGATAATTGGTCACAGTTAGCCTAATTGTTTGTGTGAGGTGATTGGCTCATCTACGGCTATTACGGGGTTCATAAGATCAACGATCACACACCGCTGTCATCAACTTCCTTCCAATCGAGCGCCAAGCTGATCAGTATGACCTCTGAATGTAGCGTCACCATCGAGCAGGACAACGACGGTGTTGAGGTAATGTGGGCGAATTATGTTTGACAGCAACTTGTATTTATTGTGGAACTTGTTGTCGTTAACTTGCCAACATCATGAACTCTCTGCGGCGGGAAACTTTGAACGCTTGCTAGCTTCTGCTGCATGTGTCATCAGAAGTGACTGCTCGCTAACTAAATGCGCTGGGACACTTCACGACACGAAGTGGCTTTCGTAGCAGCTTAGGCCAGCATTTTCGCTGACCTATTTCCTGACCTTAACCCGTCTCCTAACCTAGCTTAATTTTCCTAGCTTGCTATGAAAGTGAATTTCATAGCGCATTGATGTGAAGTGTTTCTCATCAATGCGCTTGCTAGTTAGCCTACTGGCTGCACACCTCGATATTTTATGCCTACTTGGTGGTTTAGAAGTTGAATTTAAGATTTGATTAACTAACACTGCACTGACTCATTTTACCTTAACAGGAAAAAGTTGTGGTGAAGAGAGACAGTGCGATAACCACTGTACTCTGTCGCCTGTCACAGTTTTGGCCGGTCAGACTTGCGGTAAGCATGTGCCCCTAGCTTCACTTCTGTCTTCACTGGATAGTTTGAATTTGACTCCATGTTTAGACATGGGATGGTTAAGGTTCAATAGTTTCAGTGCCCATAATTGGCCTCATAAATGTGCCATTTCAATAATCCCATGAGCACCTGTCATCACTGTGCATCTGTCTTGGATATGTGATTTATGGCTCTTTTTTAATTGCCAAAGTAATTAAACCTATGTTATGTGTCTGCAGATGCGTGCTCTCCGTGGGTTTTGGTGGCTGTTTGGTTGGTCCCCTTCAGATGAGAAGGCTTTCGCTGCTCCAGAAGAGGATGACCGCTCTAGTCCAGCCCGCCATTGTCTAACAGGCCGCAAGCGTCTGCGGCGGGCCACACGCATACTGTTGGCTATCCTGCCCCGCCGCATGCAGAGCGCCCTGGGATACCCTGTGTGCACCAGCATCGGCTGCGCCGTATCCCCAGGCATGTATAGCCATGGTTTCTAGCTACAGCATTGAGACGTGCTTGAAATGGTATGGGGGAATTCTATTATTAATTTGGGTTGTTTTTCAGAGGTGCGTGTCTCCCCCACTAAGCCCTGTGGGAAAGGCAACAAGAGGAAGCAGGATGACGTTGATGACGAGGAGCAGCAGACCTGGGTTGAGGCCCTCTCTCAGGAACTAGAGGATGAGGAGCCTTCTGTTGATCCTGACTATGAGGTGGGTTCTCATGTTATGGGTTGCTCTGACTGGGCCTAACCCTGGTTCTTCTCACATGGGTAGTATATTTTCTCTAAAATGCATGCCATCATTAAACCGATTTTGTCACGCTAATTTCCCATGGCACTTTGAATCGATTTGACACTTCTGTACTTGAATAATCCATGTCTTTCCTTTTTGACAGCCGAGCGCAGTGGATACTGACAGTGAGGAACTTAACTCTCACAATAACACAGAAAGTGACCTTGACGTTTCAGAGAAGGGCGTGATCGAGGACCTTAAAACGGTACAGAGTGAGCATCTCGCTGGGATGGTCTTTCATCATTCTGCAAGTACTCTGACTAGGAGACTGGCTTTGAATGTAAAGTTGTCTTTTTTGCCTTCTCTTGTTGCAGGATATTCCACAAGAGGCATAGTGGAAGGTGGCATTTCAGGTACATCTGGTGTGATAATAAAACCTGTAAAAATGTTTTACTGAGACATGGTCAACCTATTCTTTGTAATCCTGGTATGATGCTTGGACTGCTTTGTTTATATGGATGTATTTATGACTTCTGTGGCCCAATCCTGTAAATTGACATCAGTCCAGATTTATTGGTCCTTCTTCATAGGTGCTCTGCCTCCAGTTTTATCGCCACTTGTAAGCCTCCTGCAGTGCAAGTATGCACTTTTTTTTTTGTTCAATGTGATATGTACAACTGTTCACTAAATAAAATATATTCATCTTTACATGCAGGTCTATTGTACTTAATAGCTTCAGACATGCAGTGTAATAACTGACCAGGAGATGGCAGTACCGGATTCTTGTTTAGCCTGAAACATCTAGCAGTGGATAAACGGGCAGTTGCTGGTTGCCACCATATGTATGGGAACATGAGTTCCAAGCATAACACCAGTACAAAGAGTGAGTTGCTTCTTGACCCTTATGTCTCAGTTATGTAACATTCCAGTTGCGCTGCAGGAATGACTCTTACACAGAGTAAGGCCAGTTTGATCCAGTCTTTGTCCTTTTATGGATGCATTCACTTGACTGCACGTGCATATAACTAATTACTGTACTTGGAGAATTTCTGTAGCCTGATCTCAACCAGTTCAGATTGCCAATGGAAATCTAATTTCAAAGGTAAACTCCTGTGGGTAGTTTCTAGGTTGGCTGTCATCAGAGCGGTTCAGTGCATGTAATGATGCCACTAACACCCACAGGCTGCTAAACAATCTACTCATTATGCTGTCCTCTACTTTGACAATCTACCATCCTGCATAACTCTTTGCATTCCTGCTCCCGTCACCTGATATGCTTATGAATATACATTATGCAAAACAGAAGGATCAAAACTGCTTTGTGGTCCTGCTAAAATACAAGCTTGTTTAATTGAGTCAAAGTATCCCACAGGCTCATGTGTGGCTCCGATTTAAGCCACATAGCCCTGTGGTACTTGTCTGACGCGATACAGAGGGGGTCAGCAAAGGGCACCAGCCCATCCAGGGTGCCAGGTTCTAGGCTGAAGAGGACTCTGCCCGCAATGTGGGAGGTGGTAGAGAGCCCTTGAAGCCCCTTCAATGTATTCCCGATACTCACCCATTTCCAACCGCTCTCTGAATAGTGGGCGAGTCTTCGTGCTACATGTTCTGTCTAATCAAACATGAGCTGTGAGTGCACACTTAGGATAGTTGCAGTAGACACATTTTTGATATGCCATATGGAACCGAGAACCAAATCTGTATTAAGCTTAGTTACTAGCAAAAACGTATACTGTAGTTTAAACAGGTTTGGCAGGAAACCTTTTCAATTGCCTTACTATATCTTAGGCTTTTCCCTAGACATTTTCTCTCCAGTAATCTTCAGAATAGAGCTAGAGAAGACCTTTAAAGCAACTTGGAATGAATTAAAAGCTGGTTGCTTTTGGATGTGGGTAGGGAGAGATGATAGCGGGTGGTGATACTGTGAGGGGAGCAGTGCGAGCTGGACGAAAAGCAGACGTTGATTGTCCCTGGGGATTCCCTTGGCTCTCTGGGTGTTTTGAAGGAGAGCCTGCTCAGTCGAGAGGCTCCACCTCTGTTTATATTCAGCTCTGGAGTCTGCCTGGCTTTACACCACCAGCATGTTCTCACTCTGCCTTTCAACTGCAATGTGCTCTGAAACAGTACTGGGAAGGGCCATGTGTGAAAATAAAATATACATGCATAGTTTCAGCTGTGCAAGGTTACCACGGCATGTGGGCAATTATTCCAGTGTGCTTTTTTGGTCCCCTAATGAATGACAGTGTGACGTGTCAAGGTAATCCAGATTCCCACACTAACCTCCATATAGGATGCTTACTGTAGAGGCACTGTTCAGGCCCCCTGTGACTCGGCACTGCACCCGACGGGCTCATTGTCACCTTGACTGAATGACAGCAGGTGCTGCCTGCTCCCAATGCACTCTGACCTGCAGGCTATTATCTGCTGGATTACAATGTAACTCTAATGTCAAGCCACAAAAAGGCCCTGGTACTCACTCTCCCCGTCTCACTATTTCGGTCTTCTCTCTACCTACGCCTCTCTCACACACCACAAACACAGTGCTTCACCTCCCCCTAATGACCAGTAGTCCCCTTGGATTTAAACAGCCATCCATCATGTGTGTGAATGGGAGCGGGTAAAGATGGACAGACCTGTGAGAGACAGCCCTCCCAAAGCAAACAGAGGCTAGGAATGGCACTGGCTGGGTAAAAAGGACTGAGACAAATGCAGAGAATTCACATTTTTGGCCATCAATGTTGACTTGAGTGATAGGACCCTCCAGAGATGACTAGCACGGTTACCTAAGGGCCCTGTCACTCACAATCATCGGGCCACCAAAGATGGCGTTGTCCTTGATTTAATCCCAGTCTCCCCTTTTTCCAGCTAGAGAAACTGGGTTGTAATCAAAACGAAGGAATCTGAATGCCCTGAAGGCCATTAGACTGTCTGGGTTTGGCTTAGCGACGTGCTCCTAGTGTTTCAGTCTATCATACCTTCGTACAGGAATAAAAGGTCTAGCTGTACATTCAGTCCTGAAGCTAGCTGGTCCAATGTAGTCAGTAACTCCTTTCTCCCTCAGCCTGACTCACTGATCATAAGAGGACACTGTGCACCTGCTGCATACATTCCAGACTGAGATTCTTTCAAGTTTTAATGAGTGAAGTATGAATGCATGGATAAAGTCTAAATTGTCTGTGTATCAAAGAGCTGAGCAGTAGCACACACTCAGAGGCTCACAGTTTGAGAGAGGAGACAGCATGTTAAGTCCCTATATTTCCCAATTAGGGCCAGATGGCCTGTTCTTGTCATTTGCTTGATTAGAGGACACTCTTTGATTCAGTATGCCCATAACACCTGCAGTTACGTGTCACTTTGATTACATCATGCTGATTTCATTACAAGATAATTGAGAGGACAATTTATGACAAGTTGCCGTTTTTGCAGATTTCTATCCATCCTACATTCAAACTGGTGTAAAAAAGTACCTCTTTAAAAACAACACTTTCTGTTTCATGCTTTTGGAACTTTCACCATGAATAATGATGATGCTTCTTGTACAGACCTCATTTACTTGTAGTTTACAACTTCTGGCCTCTGGATCCAAACACCAAAATAGCTCCTGTTAATCTGACGCCAATTACAGCAATTTTACAACTGCATTTAGACAGGCTTTCCTGTGATTACACTGATTGTCATTAACATACACAGCACCACAGAGAGTGCAATGCAGTCCAATTAGTTAATAGATTAGAATGTCAAACTGTATATGCCCCTTGCTTGCGGATTAGTGTTTTTTGAAGGTGCTCGTAGCTCCAGAATGTAGTGCAGAAAGATGAAGGGAGAGCTGGGATGGCAAGGAGGCCAGCGCTGGGTAGAGATACACCATCCAGAAGATCTCATTCCTTAACTTCTAAGGCTTTTTTTCCCTAGTTCACGAAAATAGCAATTTGTATTTATTCTATTTATAGTTTTGTAGAATATGATCAATTGCTGTGCAATGTGACAGCCCGGTGTAGGACGCTAGTAATGCAGTATTAATGGGGTGGATACTGATGTTGATAGCCTTATGTATAGTGTCAGTTTATGACCATTTGTCATGAGGTGCCCTATTCCAGAGTCTACGGGGTCTATGCAATATAAACAAAGGTAATGAGGGCTATACTACGATTGAAGCTCGATCTACTCAGGGTTTTTCTAAAGCTAGTCAGCTTCAGTTAGCTTCACATTCCAGCTCAGGCTTCAGCCATACTACGACCGTGGATATTGCTCATTGCTCGTCTGCCTGCTGCTAACTAGCAAGCTTATAACTGCGGTGCATGTCGCACGTGGCTAGTCTAATGCCGAACTCTTCATTGAGACAATGCTGAAACATCAATCCAGAGTGGCGAGTTTGTGCCACATTTTCATTGGTGCCGAAATCAAAATGAAAGAGAAGTTATCTTGCAAATTCAGCAGGCTATGGTGAGAAATAGGCTTTTAGAAGTGCTGTCTTTATTTTGTTGCTTATCATGTCGTAGAATTACAACATTATGTTAATCACATTACTTTTATATTAGAATGTATTAGATATATTAGTACATTAACACTGTCTGTTCTTCTGCGAGGAAACAATAGGGTTTTTAGAACTCTCCTGTGTCTGTGTGGAACTGAGATGAGCCTCTGAGATTTAACCGCTGACAGTTTATTTGCGATGACTTGGTGATAAGACAACATTCCATTCAATGATTAGTGTCTGTGTGCCTGTGTGTGGGTGCCAGGGAGACCAAATCTCCAGTTTATTTATCCTATATGGAAGATGAACACTCGACTTAATCATTTGAGGGAATGACCTAGTGTTCTAGGTTACATTAGTATTTCTGTATAAACAAGCAGTAAATGAACTAGAGACAGATATTTGGCTCCATGTAAATCTTGATGTCTGTTGCATGAGAGCACAATGTACCTTTTGACCCATTCCATACATCTGCTGTTTGTCATGTATTCAGAAGGATGTATCTTTGCTATAAAGAGCTGTAACCTCAGTTCTGCTCTTCTGAGTTCTCAGTGATCACCTCCAAGGCGGTTGCCGACTAACTCAATTTCTGCAGTAATTAATCGATAATAAAGTTAAATTGTTTTGAGGACATCTAAAAGTCTCTCCTTTGATTAGAATAAGTACCACAACAATCGTTAATGCCTTCTTTGGTGTGCTTTGGCACCTACACAGTATAGGGCTCTGTAGGAGGGTTGTGTTTGTGCTCATCATCCCCTACAGCCCTTCATAGATGATCTCTGGCTGACACAGCCTGGGACTGTACACTAGGCATGCAGTGTTGGGTGACGTGGATGGTAATATGCAGAGTGAGTGTTTTACCTCCCCCTTTAGTCTTCCTGAAGTCAACAATCAACTCCTTTGTATTGCTGATGTTGAGAGCGAGGTTGTTGTCCTGGCACCACAATGCCAGTTCACTTACCCCCTCTCAATAGGCACACACA